TACTTTCAATGCATGTATGCTGGCATCAGATATATCCATTGAGGACCTGATAGTACAAGCACGAAAGATCAAGTACGACGACATCATTGGTCTGACCAAGACGAGAAGGCATCAATCACATCACACCATTTTCGACAGTGGAGAAGAACTGTTCCTCGGAACATGTGACAAGAGAGACGTCGGTGGTATTGGTGTCCTTGTCAATACAAACTTAGCCATGAGTATTGATTCATTCGAATGCCTAACAACCCGAATCAGACGATTACACTTGAATAGATGTGGCTCACTGCCGGCAGTTTCTATCTTCGTTGTCTATGCACCAACATCCAATTATGATGAAGGAGAAATTGAGAAGTTCTTCATAGAGCCATGGTCTAGAATGGAATGAACAGAGTGACAGACTGTCTGAGTTCATTATGTTGACCAAGACCATCCATGGTGACTCACAGTTCCAGAAGGCCGAATCTAAACATTGGACATGGGAGTCTCCCAGTAGACGGTTCCAGAACGAAATTGACCACATCATATTCAATCGACGGTTTTACCTGACCGATGTCACTGTTGTCCCAAAATTCCAAATGGGATTGAACCACCATCTCCTTCATGCAAAATTCTACTTCACAGAGCGGGGAGAAAGGACTGCAAAGTTTAAGAAGGGAACTCCCAGAACAACCACCAACTGGGAGCTCTTTGGAACTATTGTGGAAACATGGGAAGATGCTGTCGTTGACAACATTGACGAGGAATACAATAGACTGGTTCAGCACCTCCATGATTGTGCGAGGAACGCCAAGAGAGAGATAACCACAAAAAAAGCCTTTCTTCGAAAACTCTTGAGCTTATTCGCCAACATGACTTGGCGCATTTCTCAGGCAACCGCAAACGAACATCTGAGCTCACAAAGCACTACAGAGAAGCGATCAAGTCAGACCTCAAAGAGAGAAGAGCAGCAGCGCTGGTAGATGTGGCAGAAGCCGGGAAAAGGATTCATAATGCCTGCCTGTCCTTCACCAACTATAAGACCAAGATGACTGCCCTCCGACATCCTGATGGATCTATCACATCTTTCAGAAGGGCAATGGAGATTATGACTTCTACTCAGATCTCTTTGATAGCCATGTCCACCTGCCCACATACCAAATTCCGCAGGATGGATATGTCGTTCCCAACATTCTCCCTTCCGAAATCTGACACGCCATCTCATCGGTAAAGAAATGAAGAGCACCTGGCCCAGACAAGGTCAGATCTGAACACCATAAGACCTACTGTCAGTACTTATTAATACACTGACTCGGCTCTTCACACGCTACCTGTCTGAATGCAAGTTTCCATCCCAATGGAAAACCAGCAGGACTGTACTACTGTACAAGAAGGGAGACATCCACGACATTGGCAACTATCGCCCGATCTGCCTATTGTCTATCATCTACAAGCTGTTCACTCGAGTCATCCTGAATAGGATTGGCAGAACACTAGATGAAGGACAACCATGAGAGCAAGCCGGGTTCCGCAAAGGATTCAGCACCATCGACCATATCCACATGATAACCAAGCTCACTGAAGTTTCTCGGGAGTTCAAGATGGCACTCAGTCTAACGTTCATTGTTTTAAAGAAGGCCTTTGATTCTGTTGAGATGGAAGCGGTCATCGAAGCCCTAGCCAATCAGGGCTTTCAAACTCAATACATCAGGATCCTCCATAAACTGTGTTACGGATTCACTACCAGGACCTCACCATTCTACAGAGAAGTGATCATCGATGTCAAAAGAGGAGTTCAGCAGGGTAATACTATTTCACCGAAACTCTTCAGTGCCACCCTCGAGAACATCATGCGACAACTGGAATGGGAAGGAATGGGAGTGAAGATAGATGGTTGGCAACTACACCACCTTGGCTTTGCTGATGACATTGTTCTAATAACACCAAACATTAGCCAAGTGGCACAAATGCTGACCAACTTTGACTGTGAGTGTGGAAATGTCAGATTACAGCTGAATCTCACAAAGACAATGTTCATGAGAAACAGTCTTGTTCCTGACGTTCCATTCTCTCTCAGTGGAACAACCATCTCCGAATGCAACAGTTATCTGTACCTAGGTCGAGAAGTCAACATGATGAATAACCTGGCACCTGAGCTGTGCAGGAGGAAGAGCACGGCTTGGAACACCTTCAAGAGCGTCGAAGAAATAGCTAAGAGGACGAAGAACCTTCAGCTTTGGGCACATCTCTTCGATTCCACTGTTCTTCCTGCATTAACATACGCCTCAGAGACCTGGGCCCTATGAAAACAGGATGAGAACACTATTCGGGTCTCTCAAAGAGGAATCAAAAGAGCTATGATTGGAGTATCAGGCTTCACTCAAATGAGAGAAAGAATCCAGAGTTCCGACCTCCATCGATGATCAAGAATCAGGGACACTGTCTCATTTGCCAAGGCGTCAAAAATCAGATGGGCTGGACATGTAATGAGATTTGGAGACGACTGCTGGACTAGAGCCATTACCGACTGGATTCCATGGGTGGGTCATCAAAAGATCGAGTGGCCGCCCACCTATGAGATGGTCAGACTTCTTCGTCAAGACTCTGAATGATTAGTTTGAGGCTCTTCGTGTTCCTAGAATGAGCAGATGCCATTGGGCTACACTAGTACGTGACAGGGATGAATGGAGACGTTACTGGTGCCTGTTCGAGCAAATTGATGAGTAATGGGATATCAAGTGATCAAGTGATATCTTCCTGAGATTCATTGCCAAGGGACCACCCCCCATCTAATTGCCTTCTTCATTTTTATGTGTATCTTGAGAGGTTGTGTATGCAAATGAACATGTAGGCAGAATTATATCCACAGCCTAATCTCCAGAAAATGTGAATATGTTACTTTACATGGAAAAAGTACCATTTGCAGATGTGATTAAGGTTATGAAACTTGAGATGGCAAGCAAATCCTGGATTATCCACATGGGTCCATTAAGAGCAGAGAAACTTTCTTAGCGATGGTTAGAGGATTAATGTTAGAACAGGGGTCAGAAATGCAATGCAAGAAGGATTTGGCTTTGGCTGATTTTGAAGAAGGAGAAAAGAGTCAAACACTAAGGCAGTGATTTTCAAGTATTTTATATCTGTGGACCAGGACTAGCCCATGCACTTTGAACTGGTGCTTTGAATTCTCCATCCAAGAAATGAACTTTTCAACGCTTACACCTGTGGACCAGCACAGGTTTGTGACTGGCAGTTGAAAACCACTGTTTAAGAAATGCAGGCCGGAGAGCTAGCACAGCAGGCAGGGTGCTTGCCTTGCACACGACATCCCTATGGCCTCCTGAGCACTGCCAGGAGTAACCTTTGAGCATTGCATGGTGAAGCCCAAAAACAAAAACAGAAAAATAAATGTAGGTGACTTTGGGAACCTGGAAAAGGCAAGAAGACAGATTCCTGTAGAGGCTCTAGAAGAACCCCAAATAGTAAGAAACTACCATACCTTGAGTTTAACACAACAAGCCCCATTTAGTCTTCTGAACTACAAGAGTATAAGAAGGTTAATTTGTGTTGTTTTAAGCTGATGTGATATGTTAGTGCAGCAATAAAAAACCTGCATAAAGGAATTTTCCCCCTTCAAACACAAAAGATAGCTAAATACATATGCTGCTTGGCACTTGGCTCTTTTCCCATCACCAGTATCTCGGAGATAATTGCACATCACTCTTAAAAGCAAGTATATAACGTGTATGGGCATAATGTCATTGATTTACCTACTCCCCTCCAAATGCTTACGTGGGCTGCTTCCTGCCTTTTATTATCACAAACAGTGCTGCAATGAATAACCTTATACATACCTCATCACTTATTATAAGGAGGATACAGTTCCCAGAAATGAAATGAGTTTGCTGGGCTAGAGTCAACATATTTTTAGCTTTGTTAGACATTGCCAAATTGCCCTCCACGAAGATTGCCAATTGGAGCAGTTTCTGTGCAGGGCAATATACACAGTATGAGAACACCTGACTCCACTTACTCTCAGCCTCGCATGTGCCCATCCTTTAAAACTGACATTGGAAAACTGGTGAGATAGTATGTATGGGAGTTTAATCACTTGCCTTGCAACTAGTCCATCCTGGTTCAATCTCCGGCATCGCATAATGTTCTCCTAAGCACTGCTAAGAAAGATCTATGTGTCAGTCCTGAGCACTGCCAGGTGTGAACCCCTCACCAAAAAATTACGTTGATCAGGGCTGTAGCGATAGCACAGCCAGTAGGGCATTTGCCTTGCACGCGGCCAATCTGGGTTCAATTCTCAGCATCCCATATGGTCCCCCAAGCACAGCCAGGAGTAATTCCTGAGTGCAAAGCCAGAAGTAACCCCTGAGCATCACTGGGTATGACCCAAAAAGTCTCAAGCTGAAAAATAAAGAAGTAACAAAGCATTGTTGTGAGGAATTCATAATAAAATTAAAAACTTAAGTTGATTACGCTGAAGTTAGGAAATTAGGAAGTGAGAGCCAACCTCACCCCAGCCGGTTGATACAGGTCTTTGAAATACAAAGATTGTGATCAGCTGTGATCAGCATGGGGTCACATGAGGAGAATGGACTCTGGAGTCCCCACTCCAGTGAGCCTGTCTGATTTTCTACTCAATTCAAAGATTCCTTGTAGAGTCACACAACACCTGAGAGGAAAGGCGCCTTACATCCCTGAGCCCAATACCTTTTCCTTTTTTAACAGCGTTTAGAGTGTCACAGAGATTTTAGCTGAAGGGGACGGTGCCAACACAGCTAAATAAAGGACACTTTCCAATGAGAATGTGGCATTCAACCAGTGCCTGCACATCCGATTTCACTCGATCCCCTTTGAATCAATCCCTTGCTTGGGAGTGCGGGGGAATAATGCAGCCCATTCTGCCTTGTTTCCCCCAGCAGAGGTTTGGCTCCGAGGCGACAACGGGGATGAGTTTGCAGGTCTCCCGGGAACCATGGGTTTTGCTCTGTTTGTTGTTGTCTCTGCAGTATCTTGGAAGTTGGTATGAAATTGAGAAGATTCCCACGAGCTTTGAGCAGGGAAGTTGCATCCAAGCCAACTACTCACTAAAGAGAAACGGAAACATCAAAGTGATAAACCAGGAGATGAGGTGAGTGGTGCGGTTTCAGAGGCAGTGCAGGTCCTGGAGCCAGCCCCCGCGGAGAGCTGTCCCTGGGTGACTGCGTGTCCTTGTCCTCGAGTTCAGGGAGGATACAGCCACTGTGGGTGGCCCAAACACACCCATCCCAAGAGGAAAGCTTTAGGTCAGTGGAATGGTGGGAACTTGAAGTCTCTCATTCATTGTCACAATACCTGCTGAGCACTTTATTGGGAGATACCCAAGAGAAACACTGTAGGCTCCTTCTCTCATTGCGAGGGGAGTACTCTCGGAACAGAGGACAGCAGGGGCCCTCATGGTCTGACCCCCCAACACCCCCTCTCCATCTCATCTCCAGGCAGAAGTCATCGGATTTTGCTTGACTCCTTCCAGGACCCCAGAGGGTTCATGACATTGCCTTCTCTGACTGTCTGTCCCATCTCCGAATCTTTAACTCTTCCAGATGACTTTGCCAAGCAAGAATTAAACACAAATACTGCCCCATGCTAGGCTTTGTCCATCAGATAGTCTAGTGCGTGTACTTTAAATTCCAGAGGGTCTCAAATATGATCTCTTAAAATATTTTGGTTTTTTTTTAATTGTTTTAGAGCCACTCTCAGTAGAATGCTCAAGGGCCATTTCCCATCAATGCCAGGGATGGAACCTGGGTTTATCCCTGGCATGGCAATAACAATAATAATAATAGTGATAATAATAATAAAGGCGCCAGTGTGGTAGTACAATGGTAGGGTATTTTCCTTGCATGCATTTGACCCAAGTTTGATCCCTAGCATCCCCTATGTCCTCCAAGCACTGTTAGGAGTAACCCCTGAGCATCACGAGGTGTGGCAGAAGAAGGAGGAGGAGGAAGAGAAGGAAGAGGAAGGAAGGAAGGAAGGAAGGAAGGAAGGAAGGGAGGGAGGGAGGGAGGGAGGGAGGGAGGGAGGGAGGGAGGGAGGGAAAGAAAGAAAGAAAGAAAGAAAGAAAGAAAGAAAGAAAGAAAGAAAGAGAAAGAGAGAGGAAGGAAGGAAGGAAGGAAGGAAGGAAGGAAGGAAGGAAGGAAGGAAGGAAGGAAAAGGAAGGAAGGAAGGAAGGAAGGAAGGAAGGAAGGAAGGAAGGAAGGAAAGGAGGGAAGGAGGGAGGGAGGGAGGGAGGGAAAGAAAGAGAGAGAAAGAAAGAAAGAAAGAGAGAGAGAGAGAGAGAAAGAAAGAAAGAAAGAAAGAAAGAAAGAAAGAAAGAGAAAGAAAGAGAGGAAGGAAGGAAGGGAAGGAAGGAAGGAAGGAAGGAAGGAAGGAAGGAAGGAAGGAAAGTATGAAATAAAAGCATGAAAGAAAGGACTACAGAGATTGTATAGCATGCAGCCAACCCAGGTTTGATCCTGACAATGTCAGAAGTGATCCCTAAGCATAGAGTCGAGTAAGCCCTGAGCACCACTGGGGATGGCCCCAAACAAACAAAACAAAACAATGAAGGAAGAAGGGGAGGGCATGACCAGGAGTCTGAACAGAGTGCTCTTAGCCAGAGAATTACCAGGGCAGAGCAGCTGACTCAGGGCTGGAACCTGAAGGATTCTAGCTTTGGAATTGGGTTGCCAGGTTTCAAATCCTGGTTTTGCCACTTCCTAACCACATGATCTTAGATTAGTTATAATAATTCTCTAGGCTTCTTCCCTTAGGGCAGTGTGAGCATTCAATGAGCAAACCCATATAAAGTTCTGAGAACAGTGTTTGTAGGCAGGCAGCATTTAATAGCACCTATTCATTAGTCTGCTGCAGTCTTGAAAATACAAATGCATTTTTCTCATAAATAGTTCGAGAGTTTATGATCAGAGACTGGTGGTGTTTTGAAAGCACCAGTCTGGAAGAAAGCATCGAGGGTGTGAGGAAGAAGAGTCTTTTGGGAAGGGACTGGTTTGCTGTCAAGGAACTGTGTGTGGATAGAAGCTGGCCTGACCTCCTTCCTGCCTGAGTTTCAGGGGAAAAATTAGGGCAGGGTCCTCAGCCCTTCTGCTAAGCAGACGGTGCCTCTGGGGGTGTGCTGGACCCTGGACCCCCGTATCTTTGGTTGGTGTCTGCTTTACTCACTGTAGCCTGCTGACATCCTAACACATTCCATTGCTCTTGTTTCAATTTGTTGGCCTCTTCAGGATTGACTGACAGGCTTGTGTCCGCTTCCTTGTTTGTTGGTTTTATTTGTTTGGGGGCCACACCCAGAGGGGCTCAGAGAAGCTTACTCCTAGCTCTGTGCTCACGGATCACTTTTGGCAGGGCTCAGAGGACTATATGGGGTGGGGGTCACAGATGGAACCCAGTTCTTGGAGCCAGAGAGAGTGTACAGGGTTAAGGCAGTTGCCTTGCTTGCAACTGACCCTGGTTCCATCCCCAGGACCCTAGGTGGTCTCCTGAACACCATCTTGAGTGATCCCTGGGCACAGAGCCAAGAGTAAATCCTGAACACAGCCAGGTGTGGCCCAACCCCACCCATCTCCCAAACAGAAGAGCATCCTCATGAGTTCCCTGCCTCCTCTGCCTGCACCCCAGGCCATTCTCCTCTCCTCCTCCAGGGCTCATGGGGTCATAGAGAATGGGAAACGGGGCCAGCTAGAGTCAAAAGTATGCAAGTATCCCATCCCATCTAAGAACATTGCTTTCTTATTGGTAAGACTAATAAAGTGGTATATAATAGGGGTATATGACAGGGTGATTGTGTGTCTTACCACCCTGTTATATGTCCCTAAGAATGAAACAACATTGCCCATTCTAATGGAAAGGGAGCACTAATTATAACATGCAAATCTTTCCCCTGGTAACATTATTGAAATCTGATGCCCCCAAGAATCACAGAAATGATGTCATGTTTCCTCACTGTCTGCACTGTCCTGGCCTATGTCCAGATCTCCACACTTGATCAGAAGCTGGCTAACTGGCAGGGACCTCAGCTTGGCCCTTTTATGGGACAAGGTGATGTCACGTAACATCACTGAGACCCAAAGTGGGGAAGAAGTTCATAAATCTCTAGAGCCCATGAATTACATTATCTTGCACCATCAAGGTAGGGCTTGTCTTTTCCTTCGACCCATTCTCATTTTTAAACATGTCCACTGGCTTGACTTGTTTGCTTGTGTTTCCCTTCGTCTTTTTCCCCTCTCTTTTTGAAGCCTTGGAGTAAGAAAGGCCCTCATGGGTCCACTGTGAACAATCCCCAAAACTCCACTGGCATGCTGGTTCCTGATAGAGAATCCAGTGCATTGCAGTGGATCATTATTCTCTGATAGCCCCAAAGCTTGGTTGCAGAAACAGTGGTGAAGGAACGTGGCATGAACGAAATGAAAGTCAAGCTTCTAATCGAATTCATGACTCTGCTCATTGCGGTCTTCATGTCATAAGTGTCATTTTTCCCTGTTTTTTGTTGTTTGGCGAGTTCAGATTTAAAAAAAATAAATTAAAAACAAACAAACAATTATAGGCCCGATGGAACCCTGAATCACCTCGAAGGAGAAGCCATACAGAGCAACCTCACAGAGCCTGCTAAGCTGGGAGTGAAGTTTTTCTGGTGTAAGTATCCGCTTCTTGCTAGGAATCTCAGGGACAGGGAAATGTCAACAGAAGAGAAGAGCCCTGGTCTGGCACAGCCCTTTCACACCCAAGAGTCACCCAGAGTGATTCAGCACATACTTGTTCAATGAGTGTCTACACCATGACGGCAGCAGTTTTGAGAAAGGCAGAGCCATGGTGGTCCTTGTTTCTGAGGGGAAAGCATCTCCACAGAGACAGCAACAGATCCAAATGATCTACCATCAACTACAGGGTGAGGAAGCTCAGATTAGAATGTGCAGGGTGTGAGCAGCAAATTCCAATCCTGTCTCATGAGCCACAAGAAACTTAGGTCGGACAAAACCTGAGGCATTATTAGCACTATTCAGATATGCGAGCACTTGGAAGGCAGAGAAGACAGGGATGGAACTCAATTCATATCCTGTTTTTATCTGCTCCTGACCTGTGGGCTCCCTGAGAGAGATTCACCCCAGGAACTTGCTCTCTGGGTTCTGGGTTCACTGAGGAGTGGAGAAAGCATTGAACGCTCCTGTCAGTATGGGGAGAGATTGTGAAAGAAATGCTTGAGGCGTCTTCTCCCCATTTGGGGGAGTGGGTAGATGTCAAAGTCACCATCTGTGAGAGGAACCCCATTTTCCTGCCCACACCCAGCCAAGAGAGAGTGACAGAGCAGAAGGTCTTCTTTGACAGAGGGAGGATGACAACCTGTGGGGCACACAGTGCCTCCTGCTCCAGAGATCCAGTCCCAGGGTAACTGACTTCCCTCCGTGCCCGGTTCTGGGACAGGAAACTCGAAAACATGCGAGCTATGACTGGTACAGGGTTCACTTCTCCCAATCTTTATACAAATTAGAAATTCCAGGTGCAGAAAAGCAAGGTGAGGGGGGAGAGGTCCTGGAGCCCAACAGAGGCAAAGTTGAGGGGGTGGAAGGGAAAGTCCCTGGTAAGACACTCCCCTTCTCCTCCCGCCATGAGGCTTTAAGAGAGGCAGGAGCCTGAGGCTGAGCACGTCGAAGAGGAGGGCACTGGGTCTGGCTGAAGGGGTGAGATGTGTGCTTGAGGTCTTGCTGGGAGTCTGGGCGATCACAGGAAAGGCTGCCCCATGTGGAGGAAAAGGTGGAGAAGAGCAGGAAGAAGCCAAGTGAGGGTTTCCAGTGCCGTGAGGAAGGATGAAGGGCCTCCGGGAGCAGTGGGCAATGCTGGGGTGTCTGATAAAGAGATGCGGAAGTGATTTTCATTGCAAGGAAGCATCTGGATCCATGCGCAGCCAAGAGTTAGGCCCGGGGAGGAGTGAACAAAAGGTCTGGGTGTGTGAGCGAGCAGGGAGTGCAGCTCCTGGAATAGGTGGCCCATGCCATTTGCCCACAGTGCTCCCAAGTAAAGAGTCTGCAGCCCAGCTGGAACACACGACGCAGTTGAAATCCAGAAAGAGCAAACATAATAAATATCTGCTCTCGCAAAAGAACCATCAGACTAGAAACCCACAATCTGGAAAGGGAAAAGAGAAGCAGCACTCAGCCCAGGCCTGCAGGCTTCTGCCCACCTGTCCTCCACCAGTCCTTGTGTCTTCTGGGTACAAAGAGCAAGAGTGGGAGAGGTAGGGAGCGGGGGGTGGGTAGTCATCTGGGCTAGCCCTCTTATACTGCCTCAGGCGCTGGCAAGATCCTGCTCACGCAGACATGCTCTCTCTACTCACTCAATGCCTGTGCCCTTTCTTGAGGTGGTTCACGAGGGTTGGGCCCTGGTTTGACGTGGCAAACAGAGCATATATTGGCAGCTGGGAGTGCGGACGCTGGGGATTGAACCCAGGGCCTCCGCCACGTCAAGTGCACACTCTGCCATTGAGACACCTCCCTAGCTCCTGGAGGGATTATCCTTGAGTGAAGAAGGAAAACTCAAACCAGGAAAGCAGCTCACCCTGGCTGCCTATGTCCAGAATCTCTTTCTGCTGTGAGGCCAGCGTACCGTGTTTCCTCTTTGGGATCCAGCTCCCACTTACCTCATCTCAGCAACTGGGTAATGAGTTTACCTTGGCTTGGACCTAGGCTATGGAGGTCAAGTTCACAGAAATGCTCTCTGTCTCTTCTCAAAAATCCCTTGAAGGGTCAGCTTTCAAACTATGCAGATGTTAGTTGCTGAATCTTGACAGGCCATTTGTCAGGGCATCTAGAACCCATCACCCTATGGTTGTAAAATAGTCATTTACCATAGTTATAAAACATGGAGAGATTTTTGAGGACACCCCTGATGAGATAGAAACAAACTGACACCCGCCACCTCCTCCTTCTAGACAGGTCTGAGAGAAAGATGAGTGTAGAAAACCTGAAAGCCTCCTCTTACCTAACATTATTTAGGTTGGGGGTGAGGGGGCTGCAGAAAGGGTACATCCTACAGCTCCGGGCGCTGACTGGGATCAGAGGGATGCAACACCAGGAGTGAAATCCGGGTCTACCTTGAGCCACACCCTGGACCTGATATTCTTACACTCTAGTTTCCCCTAACCATGTGGGCTTCCAACTAAGCACAGATTGTCAGTTCAAGACTTTGGAAGGAACTCCTTGCTGCCAGGAAAGGAGGACTTAGATTGATGTATCCAAACTTGGCAGAAACTTAAAATTACTGGGGATCTTTGTAAAAGTCTCTACGACTTGCTTAGAATCTAGGGATGGGTGAGTTGGAGGGAAGCGAGACCTATCCAATGTTTCCATATGATTCCCACATGGGATCAAGCACCATGTGTACATCCATGGCCTTCCCTGCACCCCAGATTCTGGCATCTGTGAGTGAGGTTGCTCCTGGACCCTCCTAATTCTGTTCTCTTCTGGTTCATCAGTGATGCCATGGGCTCCTTACTGGGTCCTGGCCACCGACTATGAGAACTACGCCCTCGTGTATTCCTGTACTACCATCTTGTGGCTGTTCCATGCGGATTATGTCTGGATCTTGGGAAGAAGCCCTTACCTCTCTCCGAAAACAATCGCTTATCTCAAAGATATTCTGACCACTAATCACATTGACATCCAGAAAATGACCACCACAGATCAGGTGAACTGCCCGTACTTCCGGTAGCCAGGCTCATAAAGGCGGTGCCATTTATTCCTTACTTCATTCATGCCACTGCACCCCATACTCTTAAGCTCCTATGCTGAAGATGACCCAAATTCCTTTGGTAAAGCATAGCAAATATCAGAAGGAAATTTTGATGGTGGGACCCAATGAAAAGGAAGCCAAGAAAGGTTCTCGCAAACACAATGCGACATAGCCCTGCCATTCCTTCCAAGCCTAATAATAAATGTGTTGCTAACCTGCAGTGCTCAGAGCAGATTCTGAATTGGATTAATTATTATGGGTTTTTATTTGTTCTTGGGCCATACCTGGTGATGCTCAAGGGCTCCACCTGGCTCTGTGCTCAGGGATCACTCCTGGTAGTGCTCACTGGGGATCAAATCCAGGTCCATCTCATGCAAGGCAAGAGCCCTGCCCTCTGTACTATGGCTCTGGCCTCATTCTGGGTATTTATAAGCTTATGTTTGGGGGTCCTTAAGCATCATGTTGGAGAAAGCGTGGCACCCAACAGTTGAAGTATACTGGCAACCCTCCAGCTTACGGCAAGTGAAGGCAGTGGGCCAGGGCCTATGCTGGGCCACCCAGAACCCGGGGTCCTCACCCTGCATTGCCCCTCCTGTAGGGCAACTCCTTTTGGGATTTTGAGACTCTGACTCAGTTTCCTGGAAATTATATACTGTTCCTCAGGAGGTTCAGGAGGTCTTCAGAGTGAGGCTAAAGAATGAGGCCATCTTGGGCCAGTAGGGGAAGAAGAGAAGAGATCAAAAGAGTAGGGGAGGGGTGAAGGGGTGGGGGCAGGGACAGGAAGTATAAAAAAGAAAATCATCTTTTTTGGTCTTTCATTCAACTGACATTAACTGAGGCCCAATTGTGTCTCAAACATGGAAAAATACAGACTCCCGAGCCCCCTAAGGAATCTCCCACATAGGACAGGAGAGTGACAGGTGAAGGTGCAGAATCGGAGGTCTGTGAAGGAAGATATGGAGATCTGGGAGCCTCGCCCCCCCACACACACACCTACTGGAGCCACTGGGGCGGGCAGACACCTCGTTTCTCCAGACTCAGTAAGGAAATGCCTTGACTTTGATTTTTGTTTTACATTATGAACATTTTATATCAGAAAGACCTCAGATTTCTTCCCCTTGTGATTTCTGTTTGTTTAATATTTGTAACATTTTAAAAAATGAATCAAAAATTAAGCCATTTGATCTGATTTTCACTTTTTGAGCTTGAACAAAAAGGTTGATCTGGAGCAGGTGAGATACTACAAGGATTAAGGTGTTTGCCTTGCACGCGGCTGATCTGAGTTCCATTCTGGCACCTATGTGGTCCCTCAAGCACTGCTGGGAGTGATTCCTGAGCACAGAGCCAGGAGTTAGCCCTGAGCACCGCTGGGTGTGGCCAACAAACAAAATAGCTAAATCAAATATTTATGTCCTTGAGTACTTGAAACTCTTTAATGCTTTATCTTGAAAGGTTATAAAAGGTCCAAGGGGCAGTTTCCATTTTATTAAATAGAAATGAACTCATTTTTGAAATTTGGAAACGTCATTCGGCAATTTCTAAAGTTTGAAAACCAGTAAGCAAAAAGATCATCAAGACAGCTTTATAATGAAAGGAAAGAAGGAAGGAAGGAAGGAAGGAAGGAGGGAGGGAGGGAGGGAGGGAGGGAGGGAGGGAGGAGGCGAGATACTACAAGGATAGTATCAGTTTCCTGGAAATTATATACTGTTCCTCAGGAGGTCTTCAGAGTGAGGCTAAAGAATGGGGCCATCTTGGGCCAGTAGGGGAAGGGAGGGAGGGAGGGAGGGAGAAAGGGGGAGGCAGGAGAGGACAACAGAGCCTTTCTCCTAAGCTCCCCTCTGGGCCCCCATCTCTGGCACTACCCATGCACTCTGGGAAATGCAGTCTCACCAGAGAGGGCTGTGCAGGAGCCTCTGACCTTCTGGTAGAGAGAGAATAAAGAGAGTTGTTCTTGCGCCCTCTGAACCTCCGAGAAGATGAGAGTGGATACATTTTGCTCCTTTCTCAATAGCCTGCCCTCTCTGAAGACTCAAATTTTGTACTTGAGTGACTTAATGAATGTGAGGCTCCATGCATGACCTGAGTTGTCCTGTACAGGAAAAGGAAACCATGACACAGGTATTAGTGGGGAGGGAAACTGAGAAAAACTGGGGAGCATCCAGAGGGCAACACGGGGGGTTCCAAGCAGAGGCTGGAAATAATGAGACGGAATAACAGGAAATCCAGAGGGAAGAAAAAGAGAGGAAAAGTGGAATAAACTGAATCACACAGACAGCAGGGGCCAGAGAGATAGCCCAGCTGGGAAGATGTTGTCCTTGCACACTTGCTTTTGGTACACAACACTGCCTGTGGTCCCCAGGAGATCACAGAGCCAGGAGTAAGCCCTGGGCACAGCCAGGTGTGCCCTACAAAAACAAACAAAAACAGAAACAGTAGTATGAGAGACCCCACTTGTCTCTCTCTCCATTTCTAATAATTACCAGTTATTGCCTTACTATCACCTACCCCACATTTTCTCCTCTAGAATAGCACTGTAGCACTGTCCTCCCATTGTTCACCGATTTGCTTGAGCAGGCACCAGAAACGTCTCCACTGTGAGACTTGTTGTTACAGTTTTGGGCATATTGAATATACCATGGGGAGCTTGCCAGGCTCTACCGTGTGGGCAGAATACTCTCGGTAGCTTGCCGGGCTCTCCAAGAGAGACAGAGGAATTGAACCCGGGTTGGTCGCGTGCAAAGCAAATGCCCTATCCACTGTGCTATCGCTACAGCCCTTCTCTAGAATATTAGAAGCAAATGCCAGATATCACACCACTTCTCCCCACCCCCCTTAACTCTACTATATATAAACCTCTAGAAAATACACTCTCCAAACATACACACACTGGAAAGATTGTCTCAGGGGAGACGTGCAGGGGTTTAGAGCACCTGCCTTGTAAGCATCTGGTCAGGATTTGAATCCCTGGTGTCCCACAATGCACCAAACACCAACCTGGCAGCTCTGTTCAAGCCTGACAGTTCTACTGATGCCATCCCCTATGCCACAGGTGACTTCCTATCACATCACAATCAGGTGTGTGAAAGCACCATCAAAAGGGATGCATCGGCTCCTGGCGAACACACCATCACCTGTGTGCCTTAGCTAAGGAGCACAAGCCTTAGCAAGCACCGCAGTGAGCTCTGACCCACCTACCTGGCGTGTGACCCTGGGTGGGCACAGCTAAAACCATGTGAGCTTCACTGTTGGGCATCTGTGCGATCCCTGGTCATGACAGGCCTATCAGCAACAATGGAAGGAATTCTTTTAAATCAACATTTTGGGGGCTGGAGCAATAGCACAGCGGGTAGGGCATTTGCTTTTCATGCGGCTGATCCGGGTTCGATCCCCGGCGTCCCATATGGTCCCCTGAGCACTTGGGATCAAAACTGGGCCAACTGTGTTCAAGGCAAGAAGCACCTAACCCACTGTACTATCACTCCAGCTTCCCTGCATTTCATTATTTTCACCCAGTGTCATATTCTGAACACTTTTGTGTTAGGATTTGTTGGTTGCAAGGAGCATTCACTTGGTCAAATTAAACTGCTTCAGAAAAAACAGAAACAAAAATGTGTAGGAGTAATTCCTGAATGCAGGAGTAATTCCTGAGTTCAGAGCCAGAAGTAACCCCCGTGCATCACCAAGTGTGACCCAAAAAGCAATAAATAAATAAATAAACATTATGTTGTGTTTGTTTGTTTGTTTGTTTGTTTGGGGAGCCACCCCCAGCTGTGCTCAGGGCTTACTCCTGGCCCTGTACTCAGGCATCACTCCTGTCTGGTTTGAGTCTCCCTGTGAGGTGTTAGAGATCGATCCTAGGTCAGCCATGTATGTGCAAGACAAGCGCCTTACCTGCTGTGTTATCTCTGTCCCCTCAGGATTATGTTTTAGATCCTGAAGGTACCACAGATAACACATGTGCCATGGAAAGATCATTTGGTGCCATGACATGAGCGTATGTATATACAAATCGATTCACGATTGTAGCAGCCCCCACGCTGAAAGGAACTAAAGTAAAACTAACAGCAGATGAAGGAGGTCATGAATTATGGAACAGTCATTGATGTAAGGCTGTGTGGTCATCAAAAATGTAGTTCTGAAGGCTAGGCAGCCACACAGACAGGCAGGCACCGCTTGGAGTCCGAAGGTGGCTTTGTTGATTCTGCAGCGGGAGCAGTGCCTCTCCATCTACACCCAACAGGACCAAGATGTGCCCACCTGATCTAGAGCAGCCTATCCTCAGGCTCAATAGGAACCTCTGCTTTTTCTGTGTGTCTGGCTTATCTGGGTGAAAAAGATAACTTGGGCGAACCACATCAAGATTCAACTTGACAAGCACGGAGATGCAATTCCAGAACCTGTAAGGTCTTGCAGTGTGGGCTGGCCAGAATCAGCAATGCACAGCTGATGTCCAGGAGTGCAAAGCAGACACAGGTCCCAAAGCCCCACCAGATTCCTGACAAGGCAGCCTCAGCAGCTGACGGCTGTGTAGGCCTGAGGGCCAATTCCAGTCTAGCACTACTGCCTGAAGTTCCTGTCCTTTGTTCCTTAAATTTGTTTCATCAACATCATATGGTTCTCATAACCAGCCACACACACACACACACACACACACACACACACACACATACACACACACACGTTTTTGTTTTTGTTTTTCTGAAGCAATTTAATTTGACCAAGTGAATACTCCTTGAGAGCTTATTTGGAGGTTTTAGCTGGAGAGCGCAGCTACTCTCACCTGAAGACCAGTCTGTCTCTATTCGGGGAAGGCCGTTCTCTTCAACCGAGTGGTGCAGCTTCAGGAGGGATGCACATGGAGTGGTGAGGGAGGAAGGGGACACCCACCTAGCCAGCCAGATCAGCCAAATCAACCTGGCGATCAATGGGGTGACAGATGTTGCAGCCAGATTGCCCTCACATCCGACGTCCTGATGGAT